GTAGGCCACATTGTTGACTGAATGCTGAACACCAGCAACTAATTTCTTTGCCTGACTAGATGGCAACATTAGTTAAACAAATGCAGAGGCATGATATGATTTCATGTTAATATTATACTGCAGTGTTGAGCTGCTTCTGCCTCATGGAAGAATTGGCGGCCGATTGAAGTGATAATTTGAATCTTAACCTGTGACTAATTAGGAAATCTCACACCTCAGGCAGGTGCGGAGACGTAGAAATTCCTGAAATATCACCAGTGGAATGAGTCATTAAAAAAGGACACAATGTGAATGTACAGCAGGAATGCAAGTAAAACTGCATTTGATTGATTCTTTCAAATACAAAAGTCTCGTGATTTGTTGGCCAGTGAAAGCTGTTATATTACAGTCTGAAAATATTCTCTTGATTTCTCAACATGCACACCTCCAAAATAGCTCTGAAGCTGTCAACCCACCAATACAGCTCCCCAAGGGATCTGCTGTCTGCACTGATATACTGTTTTCACAAACTCGCAAAGTAGGTAATTACAGAACAGAAATGTATGTTTAGATTTGGTTGCTAAAATGAAGGAGCTGCAGGTTACAAATATAAAATAAAATTCAAGACAGAAGTCCCCAAAGATTTTTGGTGGTTATCTGTCAGAGGTACGCATATGAATGAATTACTGTACCAAATGAATTATCAGTATGATGCTCTGCATAAGCCCACCTACTTGATGCCATGGCAAACACACACAGGCCATCAGAGTATTTTAAAATGATCATCATGGATGTTAATATCTATTTACACATTGTGACAAATATGCTTGGCTGAAAAGGGTTCATACTTGAATTTTACTTGACATGTTTAGTTGAGCAGAATAATGCAGGTCTATGCTCTATACTAAAAATATATGGGATGACACCTTCTACTGTAGGAGGTTTTTGTACAAAACCAAACTGGATATTGGTCTTACCATCTGGCGCCACCAACATCTTTGCCAGGAGTTTAAAATAAAAGAACGATGTCTTTTACATTTAAAACAGTCTATGGAGAAACTGATGTCCTTTGCTGTAACTTTGTAGCACAATGACTGAACATCAAGATTCAGTTACTGTACAGGAAAAAGGTCACACACACACACACACACACACACACACACACACACACACACACATACACACACACACACACATACACAGAGGCTGTAAAGACCAGCACCGCCACAGATCTACTTACATCACATGTGTATTGCACCTCATCAACAGCATACTTCTCCTTGAAGTGCTCTTTAGGAAAGATCCTGTCAACATATGAAAAACACGGGAGTTCAGTCTCTGAAAACTTTACGTCCAGTGGTTTCACTCACATATATAAAAATGTTTATCCTGGGTGTAAAGGATCTAATGTGCAGCACAGGACTTTGTCAATCCTATCTATAAGTTACAGCTCTCAGCTATGGACCAGCTGGTGATGACTGTTGGCCATGTACACAGCTTTTTGAAGATTAGTGTGACTCACTCTCCCATCCAAGTGGCATAGCTTTCAGGCAGTTTGAGAACAAAAAGGATGGATTTCCCAGAGTTCACATCAATAGCCCCATAACAGTCAGGCTCGGTTACTCCAAAAGCCCAGTGGAAGAAAGACTCCTGCAGAATGGACAGAATCAGCCAGAGCATTAGTGAGGGACATTGTACATAAGAAAACATATGTTGTTCCTGATTAGGATAGGTGAACACAGAGCTCAACATACTGATCATAGACACAAGTGATTCCTCTGCAGGGTGGCTGGCCTACATTTTTTTGACACAGTGAGGAGATTAACAGTGCAGAAAAACTCAGAACTGGACTTGACTTTAGGAGAAGCCGGATGTGGTTTTTGTGGCACCTCAACATGACAGAATGCCCTCTGGGCTCTTCAGGGATCGGGCACAGCCAACTTAGAGGAGGCTGACACAGGACAAGTTGGAGGGACTTAAACTTACTACTGGCTTGGGGTATCATTGACGAATGGATAAACAACCTACCTGCCTGAAAAGGAGGTCTGTGTCCGTGCAGTACCTCTGCTTTTGCTCTCCTCCCTGCAGCACCACCACTGACTGCGGCACCACTCCATCTTTGGCTTTCAGCTCTTTGCACAGTCGTCGGCGGTTCTCTGCAAACAGGGCCGCCGACACCCTCAGGGTTTCATTACCCAGCCAGTAGACAGGTCTGAAAGAAGAGGGAGAAAGAACATAGGGAGGCTAAGGGTGGAGTAGTGGTTGGAGAGATTGACCCTCAATTGAAGGACTCTTGGTCTATATTAGGATTACCCGGTCATCAGGTGCACTCAGCATAACATAAACCTAAAATAACATAACTTTGTCCACACTGTCCCTACTGTACCTACGATCTCTGATATCCTAGTGTTCATTCATGAAAGTATACAGCAGCTACAGCGCAAAGACTTGTTGAGCTGGAAATGTTGTGGTTTCTGCTTTTGGCACACACACATATAGACACACAGAGCAAGTCGTGGACCCTTTATGTCTTTAGTTCCATCACCAGCCTGAAGAGGTGAGTGAACCACAGCCTGCCTTCAGAAAGAGTTAAGACATAGATATAGACATCCTTTTAAATGATAGATCTTGGTTATAAATCTTGGTCCATGGCCATGGTTTCACTGATAAGATAACAAAAACAACATATCTGATTCAGCCTGGAGAGTATCAAAGGTTAATCCATAACCTCATAGTATTTTATGGCTCAATGATTTCTGTATCATTCCCTGTTGGCAGTGTATCCAGGTGTAACTGTGAGGACAGATCAGTCCCAGTGAGGTGGTAAATGATCTTATTGAAGGAGGCAGACACAATCATGTACTACACTGCAATCCAAATGCCCTTCTGGCAGGTTGCAATAGCCCAAGAATAAAAAAAGAAAAACCTTGTGAAATGTATTATTTTAAGATTGCGCCGGTGAGATACTGATTAAACTGTGTTAACCTTTGAGGGAAGAGTTTCTGGAGCTGTACTCGATTACATAATGTCACAAGGCATGCCTGATGTTTGTTCCAATCTCTGGCATTGATCACTTTTATGTCTGCTGATTGCTGACAAAGTTATGATTACCACAGCAGACACACACTTTAATGATCACAAGAAGCCTGCCTGGGTTGTGTCGTGATCACAAGAAAATGAAGCTTGTACAAGTGAAATCAGATAATTATTTCATGCAGCATAATTACTTCATGATGTACTGTTTGTCATATTGATACCAAGAAAAAGTAATTCTATGTTCATGAGAAAACAAAACACATAATTGAACTGTTGGCTTTACATACTGTTGTAATTCAGAGCTTTCACTTCACATTTGCCACAAATAATAATATTAATAATAATTTTTACAAATAATTTTCTTTCTGCAATTTCTATCTTGTCAACTTTTGTAAATATCATGTCTTCAGGCCTCTAAAAATTCAAATTACTTTTGCAGCAGGTTGAGCTATAGTGGCTGATTTGTTGCATTGGGCCACAGGGGCCAGCCTTCGCTCCCCACATACAAAAATGAGCCTAATCACATGAAAGTACAAATTCAAGGCCTCTGATCTTAGAGAAGATATAATTAGGTATAATGCTCCTAATTCTATCTGTGGATGTAGGATTGTTTAGAAATTTGCTTCATCCAATTAATCTTAAAGGTTCTGCCTTTGTCAGTTACACTTACCCGTGGGCGGCTGTGGCTCAGAGGCAGATTGGGTCGTTCCTTAATAGGAAGGTTGTGGGTTCAATCCCCGGCTCCTGGTGCCACATGTCAAAGTATCCTTGAGCAAGATACTGAACCCCAAATTGCTCCCGATGCCGTGAGTGTGTATGAATCTTTTCCCAGTACATTATAGACACAAGTAACATTGCATTCTTTAAAAGACAAAAGCAAGTTCAAACAGCCCAGATGCTACAGAACATGAGTCTATTGTTTTTAGGTTTTGGGTACTTTAGAAATGAAACATCAGCAAGTTGACTAATTATACTATCTCTGTCTGCAATGGATATTCCTTTTAATGAGCATTTTTTTAAAAATAAAAAGTTGTATATAGAGGAGAAATAAATACAGGGAGGGTGGACAACCCCTTCTTCTTCTGATATACCTGTGACAGTAGTACAGAAGTACAGTAGTTATAGCTTTAAAATTTTACTAAGACACTACCATCATTTTTCAAGTATCAGCTTGCTTTGAATTTAAATAATTCCCAACTGCTACAAAGTGCATTTTCAGATTGTGCTTTGTTCAAAAATTGCATTATTAGTTTAGTCTAATTCCACCATTTCGTGCTGTAACAGTGAACTATTAGGCTTCCAGGAAGCACTTCTGCATACCTTAGCATTGGCAAAGTGTAAATGAATAGAGATGGGGACTTTATGATCTGTAAACTGTGTTCTAAGGATACTGACTGATCTTGTCAACATTAAAATATTATTTGATAGCAAAAAGACCAAGTAAAACCATATCTTTTTTCTTCCCCCATATGTCAATTAAATCAAACCTTTGCATAAAACCCTTTAGGTTTTCATTTACTGAAGTAGAATCTTGAGGAGACCAACAATCCATGTTATGATCTAATATCATGTTGACATTGTTTCTCAAGAATAACCTTTACAGAGCCTTTAGGGAACGTTTTCTGAAGTTTTTTAATAACCTTCAGTGAACCTTTAGGGAACATTCCCCAGTAGTTTGCAGCAACAGTGTCTCTGTAACAAGCAGTTAATAAACATTTTTCATTGAAGAACGACAGTGGCCCCTGGTGGTCAATACCTGCAAGTTTGTATTTTACATTTGTTCTGTAGTGTATTATTTTACATCCAGGTTTTATACTCTTTTGTAAAAATCTCTCACAGCTGTTGTTTTTCCTCTCAAATGTTCAACTGTAAACTTACCTCTGATTATGAGTACCATGTACTGATTTGTATGATAGAACTGTCTTATAGTGCAGAAAGAAAAGTCAAATACCAACAAAATAAATAAAGAAGTCTGCTGCACAAAGTTGCAAATTAAACCATTTATTTAATTTCACATCATTTTTTTATGAATAAATTTTTACAAAGAGGAATATACTGTATAAGAATAAGAATTATTAGAAAAAACGTATTTCTTTTTCCAGGAGGATCAGAAATTAACATCTTTAATGGATCAAGATAGAATTTGTCCCTTAAAAGAACTGCTAACATTTAGCACCATTTTTTAAAACATTATGAAACCTTTTTTAAGATACTGTATGAAATGTTTCTTATAGTCATGTGTTGATTATGCAGCTCAATAATAGTCTTGATTGTGTGTCTGTTGTGAGATGAAGTTAGATGTGAGAGTCAGAGTAATAACTTTAGTTTTACTAAAGAACGTTGTTTGTTGTTTATCTGCAGTAAATAATGACATTGCTGTTTACAGCTCAGACTTTACTGTGAGACGTCATTCAGAATTTCTTGCTGCTGACGATGGGGCTGAAGGGTTTCGCAGCGTCAGCCATGAAAGCCTCAATCTCCTCTACGGTGCGAGGGACGCAGGTCAGCAGCTCCATACCATCAGCTGTCACTGCAATGTCATCTTCAATGCGAACCTGCACACAGTAGTGACACAGTAGTCAGTCAAACATGGAAGAATCGTAGCAGGAAACGTTCAAAAGGCAAACAGAGTCAATGCAAAAATGTAAACACGAATTATATGTATTAAGGATTCATATGAGTTGGCTCACTGAAAAATATATATTGACAGGGAAAAGTTTATTCTAATTAATATTCTCCTTGAAGATCATCTAGTTAAGTGTAAATGGATCACAGTCCTTATATAAATATTATAAAATAATTTTGGTACAATTACAAAATCTTGAGGCTTAAATGAATGCATTATTTTGTTAAGTGTTTCTAAAGAATAAAAACGTCATTCAGTGGACCAAGTATCCAGTAAGTGACATTGTTCATAATAAGTTCATTTCAGTATTGGTTGTTTGTAGCATTAATTCTGTACACACTTTGATATATTTCTATTCCCCCTCTGGTGAATCCAACCCAACAAACACAACCAAATAAAACTTTGTGGTAGACTGACCCCTCCAAAGCCACGGAAGCGAGCCAGCACTTGGTTATTGATGAAGCAGCTCTGGGCAGGGTTGGCCAGGGCCTGATCCAGCAGGTGGTTGATGAAATATATGCCAGGCTCCACGGTGAGGACCATCCTCTCCTGCACCAGGCGGCCCATCCGCAGACTCCTCAGTCCAGGCTCATCAATACGCTCCACCCCCTGGGCAACAGTACAATTTGTTGAAACTACAGCTTCACAGTTACAAAACATGAGCTGTGTAGTAACAGAACATAACTATCATTAAACCATCCTGTGGGCCTGACTGTTGTACTGGAATTAGCAAACACTATGGTTCTGTCATGTATTCTCAGACTGACTGAGCTCTGTGTTCATATTCAGCGAGCCTTGCTTATCAGTGTACTTCCCATACGGACACCATCTGGTGAGCAGTTCCTCTGGAGCTTCTGTGGGTTAAGTGTCTTCTGTATTTAGTTGTCAGAAGAGCATAACAGTTTAAAATCCTCCACCACAACCTGAAACCGTCTGTGTTCAAAGTTCAGACAACAACAGCTTCCCCTCTCTCCTGCCCTTACAGTGAACTTGCTCCTGCAGCTTGACCTCTTTTTATTCTGCTCTCACTTCTGCAATGAGGGTCTCTCTATTATTGATGACACATCAATATTGGACGAACAGGACTGTGTTTTCTTCTTCTACTGTCTGAGTCTGACTGACTGAACATCTGGCTGGTTGTGATGAGGGCAATCTTAGAATTAAAGTGTTTTGCTCTCACCTCAGGGTATCCTCCCACATCATGCACGTCAATGCCCAGCAGGTGTCCCAGGCCGTGGGGCATGAAGACAGAGCCCAGGTGGACCTTCAACATGTCCTCCACGCAGCCAGTCAGGATGCCGATCTTTACCAGCTCCTCCAGGTGAACCCGGTCAGCCAGGCGGTGCATGTCAGTCCACTTCACACCTTCAACACAAGCAGCAAGGCTTTTTGTCTTTCACTTTTTACATTTGAGAATGCATGAAATCCAATTTCATCAATTTCCTTTTAGCCTCTCAAAATGTAGATATTAATCTAAGACCAGGTTTACATTTCACTTACAATTATAAATATTATTTACAAACCTCAGCAACTGTAATTAAAAGTAAAGAAAATATGTTTAACTGTACTCAAAACCTTAACATTGTTTAAGAACTCAAGTAAAATGTTGATCACTATGGTTTGTACTTTACATCCACCAAAAAGATTCCTGTAAAATGCAACAAAACAATTACTATTTAACCCTGCACTGGGCAGAACATTACGTACTTTTTTACTTTTTGGTAGGTCAGTACAGTGTACTCAACAGTTAAAGTGACTATAAGATGATAACCTGGTTTGATGGCCGCCAAAACAGCTCGGGAGGATTTGAGGACGGCCTCGTAGATGGCCCTCTGGTCTGTAGTGAACTTGCCGTTGGCTGGGAAGGAGCAGGTGATGTCTGAGGAGTAGCAGTAGTACTCTCCACCCATGTCAAACAGACTGTAGGGGGCAAAACATCAGAACAGATTCAGTCTAATTTATTTCCAGTGTTTCTGAGCCAAAAGTTAAAAACTACTGAAGGCTACTCACCACATGTCTCCATCCATAATTGTCTTATCATTTGGAGCCCCAGCATGGCCGTAGTGGAGAATAGAGGAGTTATTGCCCCTGTTGTTAAATAAAAACACAATTTCTGAATTGAAGGGACATATAGATATTGTTAGTATGATTAACTACTACACTACAAGGTGGTAACTGCATTGAATGTGACGTATATAAAGCTACTGTGAAAACAAATAATAATTAATAATACAAAATAACATATTTCAATAAAGCATCAAATTGATTCCAATCTTACAACATTTCATCAATTTCCTTTAATGTTTAAACCAGAAACACACCACAGTGCCTCTTTCAAGATTCATTGTGATGACCAGGTCCTCATTTGCATCCACTGACCACTAATCCCCAGCAGGTATTCATTACACCTGGCCTTTAATACAAAAGGCCAAAGCATGATTAGCAAAAATGTTCCAAAATGTTTCATAATGATGCTGCTAGCTGACAGCAACAAAGAGGAATTTGAGGTTGCCCTGGTTGGCAGGCACAGTTTGGTTTGGCCAATAAGACAGTCGGGATACTGCAAGAGTCCAACTTCCTCTGTATTCCAAAATCTGCTTTGTGTTCAAATATGCCACAGAGTCATAAAGGGTGAGGCGAATGTGCATGGGTGTCACTCACATATGTTTGTGTACCTTTTGTTTTTGGACTTACAGTGTATTATAGGTTATACTTATAGTGTGTTTACGTTTGTTTTTGTGTCTGTTTTGAACCCTTCTCCTGACAAGAGTTGAATCAACAAATACACAACACATAGCTGAGATTTGGGAGGTGTGTGCATCAGATGAAACAGCTAAACAAAGCCTTACGTTCCACAGATACAGGTGTACGAGGTGTGACGCATCCCTCCTTTATTGTAGCAGTAGTGCTGGAACAAGCTGTAAGGAAGAAAAAAAGGAAACAAAACACTTTGAGCACAGCAGAAATCACAGATCAACACATCTATGGATCTTGACTGCATCGCAACACTGTAAGATAAGTTCCCGTTTCCTGGTTCATCTTACACAGCAAAGGAAAATGAGTATGACTGACAGCTGCTCTGACACATTACTTTAAAAAACTCACTAAAATATACAAACATAAATAAAACATTACTAAATTATCATTCAAATGAAAATCCTGGGTTATCTGTGTTTCTCTGTTGAAATCAAGTGTTTTTCATTCATCAGAATTAGACCTTGCTAGATCTTCCATTTGATTATAAACCTGCTCCTGTAATAATCTCGTACTATATTTCATGGACTTTTATATACCAACCATAAAGGGCCATGTAAACCTGACAGTACCAGGTCTACCAGTGTCACTATGGGGCTGTGAAGCATGCAACATAATGTAGCAAACCCATAACAAGCTAGAACCCTTAAAAACTGTACCTATAATAAGCATTATACAGGTACTGGAGCGCCGACATGCACTGAGGCATGACATTTGTTTGGACTACAGTGACGGGAGCTGTGTTGGTCTAAGTGGGCCATAAGGTTTATCATGACACTATTTGAAAGTAAAGTCAACTAAAATAAAGACTGCTTCAGTCCCCACATACACTGTAGATATAACCATAGATATTAAACAGTAGACAGATCTTCTATTTCTATGTCTTGTCACCAAACATGGGCTATAAACCACTTACCTCTCCATTTCATATTCTTGCTGTCCAGGCTTCACATGCTTCATGACCTACAGAAAAATGGATAAGTCAACTACTGGATAAAACCGTTACTGCTGATCCTCTGTGCATGCTTTTCTTGTAAGTTTCTCTTTTCTCATTTGTGTATGCGAAGCTTTTGGGCATTCTCACTTTCAATATGTGGATTATTACCTCAAGCATTGACTACAGGGTTTAGACAAAGTAGGCATAAAGACTTATGAAGTCAGTGAGAGTGCCCTCAAACATTTTCTGTACAGCTGCAGGGAAGGTTACACCTGCAAATCTACCAAATAGTGTGGCTTCAGAGACACATGGGTAGCAAAATTCCTCTGAAAACTAAGTCTAATGATCACACTGGCGGAACACAATATTGAACGCTCATGGTGGGTGATTTCAGAGGACAGATAACAACCCCTGAAGAGGTTATTCATGGTGATAAAGTGAAATCCTGTACAGAAGAAAAATAATGCTTTACTGTTACAGCTTATTGGTCAAAGGCTATCTGTATTACTGCTGGCCTCCAAGCTGCTGGTGAAGTTAAAATCAATGCCATTTAAACAGTTTACAGCCCTTAGAGAATCCTGACATCTTGAATGTTTTGGGTGGGTTTTAAACTCAAAAAGCTGTTTGATACTTTGGGTGTTTAATTTCATGCTCTGAACTTTTCTTTTCTTTCTATTCCCTCCTTTTATTTTTTGAAGAATGAAAATATACCAATTTGAGAACCCTTGCTCTGTCTTGCCAAGAAGGATCTTACCATTTTATGGGCTTCACTGGAGATCCTGTTGGTGTAGCGCAGGACCTCCAGCTCCATATCAGTCTTAATCAGACGGCTGCAGACATGGACAGAAGTAAGAAATGAAAGATCATTCTGATCGTCACACTGGCAGTTTATCGATGTAGATTACAATGAATGTACCGCCAAACAGTATAGAGAATTCCTACAACCACCACATTGACATGAAGAAATACAGATTCTGTAATGAGATGGCTGAAATAGAGACGTATAGAGAACAAGTGTCCTTGTTCCCAGGAACATCGTCTATAAATGAGTCCCATCGTTTGGTGAAATTCCAGTGGGAACAATCTACTGATGCAGAGCTGATGGAAATGTTTCAAACCACAATAAAATGTAATACAGCCCTTGATTGAAATCTTTAAGACCATATAAGAAATTGCCTGCAGGTCTTACCATTTCTCATTCATTTGTGATAGGAAAGCAATAGCTGCACCTTAGATAGTATTAAGGATTTCTAAAATAATAGAAACTAATTAATCACACAAAGCGCACAAAGCGGTGGAAACCAATAGTAACACAAATGAAAGTAAAACAAAATAGCCTATTAAAAGAGAGCCATGCCAGCTCCTCGGAGTAGAGGGGATAGGGGGGTTCAATCAAGTCTTCCTCCCCAGGAGGTGTGCCTGAAAACCATTCCTTCTTATTTTAGAAAATGTCAATTCATCTGGAGGGTGCAAACTCTAATGCCAAGGACAACCAAGTGAGCACGAAGTCCATTACATCCATGCGGACTGGCATCTGATTCTAAGAGGGGAAAAACAAGCCAAAGCTCCTGTTTCTGATTGCTGACACACAATTACCTGACCTGGCAGCTGTAACTGCCAATGTTTGTGAGTGAAAAGTAGCAGAATCTACCTGAAGGAAATTTAAGGTAATTAAGGGAGAGACTACAGTCTTCATTCTCATCTTGAGTGGGCTTTCTGAACGATAAAATAATAAAACATGTTTTAATGACTTACCATTCCACAATGACTGGGTGTAAAAGAGTGTTGTTCACTTGGAAGCTGATAAAAAAAACAAAAAAAACAGCAACATTATAAATACAAATAAAGCTTTGGTAAAAGTTCAATAAGGAAGATGTCTTCCCTCACATTTTGCCTCTGTTCCTCTTTTGGTCAATGTCTGCTACTTTATTTTCCCCATCACATCCGCTGTCCCGTGCTGTCGAAATCTCCACATTCATAATTCTGACGTCACCACACTTGATCAAAGATCTTTCTGCCTTTGTTCCCCGAGCCAATCAGTTCCTGGTTGCTTTTATTTAAATATCACTGCAATTCTGTCTTTCAGACCTACTACTGCGAAACAAACCAACTCTCCATCACCACCATGACCTCCAGGTTGTCCACAGAGACTCTACTGAAAGTTTCCATCAACCACCTGCTGGCTTCACTCCACCGCCACCAGGGTCTAGACTCCAGGGGGAACCAGTCCCATTTCTTACCTTCTTACTGGCCTACGCTTCATGAAGATGTTTCACATCAGTGGAGTCTGATAGCCAAAAAAGTTTCCTCAATTGCCAACCTCAGTAAATATTGTCATATACTTCCAGTTGAACTCTCCTTATTGAAATGCAATTTGATGCAAATTGATATATTAGCTTTGAAATCAATGTATGAGATTTATTTCTTAAAACCATTAGGGTCAGAGTGTAGAACAGATAAAACGCTGTAATGTATGCAGTTAAAAAAGAACAAAGACTGGCTAAAGATAACAGTAACATCGCCATTAACTGATAACTAACAAACAAGATTGTTTGCTTAATTAAATTATATATATTCAGAATTAGGTTAATCAGCAACAGTCAGTATCCATGAGACTCTGCTGTATCCTTGGTTAGAAAAGAAAGAGAAACCCAATAACCTCCACAAACAAAGTAGAATTGTGTTCATGCACAGGGACCCCAATTAAACATACCGACTAATTCCTTCAAAGGAGGCTTCACGGCAGATGCTCCCGCTATCTGTATTCTGTCCTCGCTGCATGGGAAAAAAACAAACAGAAAACGTGATCACCACAAAGTGCATTCAAATGTCAGTACATTGAATTAAATTGGCTTATATTCAGGCTGATAATCTATTCGATAGGTAAAATGACTTTTAAGCAGTTGATCAATATAATAATCAGGTCAGCAGATGATCTGAGCAAATGAACAGCTTAGACATAAATAAAATGAAAATAAACCCAGTGTTTTTATTTTGATATGATGAGTAAGATAGCTAACATTAAGCAAGGTGAGGTAGATCTAACAGGACCTTTTACAGACTACCATCATTAAAGCTGGCTCAGTAAAACACTGCACCTGAAGAACTGGTCCTGTGATCAGTCATCTGATATTAAATAAAACTGGATATTACTAGCTGTAACCAGGTAGGAACGAGTGATGCACTGTTCTAACTACACTCTACAATACGGAGATACCATCAACATACCAGGGTGAGGAGAGTTGATGGTCTCAGGTTGGACAGGACATCAACAATCTGCAAGCAAACAGACAGGGAGTAATTAGAAGACTGACACACAGCAGAGCAGCAGAGACAACAAGCGCCAGTTTTCTTCTGCTCTCAGTCTGCAGAATAAAGGTCACTCTAGCAGACGCTGTTGTGGCTATGTGGCCTCTCTGGTACTCACAGCACACTGAAAGACAAACCTCAAGTGACTTTGTTACTCCTCTGCCAACAGCTTAAATGTCAGATAACAGATCCCTGACTCAGTGTGGTATTTGAGCATTTTATTATTATTAATACCCCTAAAATTGACTTCCTAAAACAGTCACTGTATTGTCTCTGTAGAGCAGAAAAATCCCTCCCTAGCAACTAAAATCATATCTAAATTTCATCTTAATTTTGGGACATTGGAATAATTGTTATTATGCTTTAAAGTTTTAAATGTCGTTATGGGGATATCATTCTCATTTTAACTGTGATTCAATTATAGCTGCAACAATATCTTCAACCTGTAAAAAATAGGCTGCCTCAACCATTTAATCAGTTACAAATCTGACATCTTTTTTATATTTTGAATGAAATCTGATGTAGAACAGTAGTTGTATATCACTGGAGTAGAACACACTTGTCAGCCAGATAGAAGAAGCAATATATGGAGAAAAAAACCCCTGTCAACAATAAATCTTGAAGGGAAATATCAGCCAGATACTGAAAAACATATTATTCACATTGTATACACAAACTCCATCCAACCATCTGAAGGTAAACAGTTTGTATGTTAAATATTTATGACCTGGTTCTGATAAAAAAAGTCACATTGTTCTCTTTTTTTTTTTTTTTTTTTTTAAACACATTTTATTGTTTTTAAGCAGAGATAATACATAACACAGAGACAAAACCCCCCACCCCGACCCATCAGACAGCACATGTTATACAAAAAAAAAAAAAAATAAATAAAAAAATACAAAAATACTAGTGATACATTGTTCTCTTTTAGGTCCTTCCGTGGGCCACATTGCTGACTGAATGCTGAACACCAGCAACTAATTTCTTTGCCTGACTAGATGGCAACATTAGTTAAACAAATGCAGAGGCATGATATGATTTCATGTTAATATTATACTGCAGTGTTGAGCTGCTTCTGCCTCATGGAAGAATTGGCGGCCGATTGAAGTGATAATTTGAATCTTAACCTGTGACTAATTAGGAAATCTCACACCTCAGGCAGGTGCGGAGACGTAGAAATTCCTGAAATATCACCAGTGGAATGAGTCATTAAAAAAGGACACAATGTGAATGTACAGCAGGAATGCACGTAAAACTGCATTTGATTGATTCTTTCAAATACAAAAGTCTCGTGATTTGTTGGCCAGTGAAAGCTGTTATATTACAGTCTGAAAATATTCTCTTGATTTCTCAACATGCACACCTCCAAAATAGCTCTGAAGCTGTCAACCCACCAATACAGCTCCCCAAGGGATCTGCTGTCTGCACTGATATACTGTTTTCACAAACTCGCAAAGTAGGTAATTACAGAACAGAAATGTATGTTTAGACTTGGTTGCTAAAATGAAGGAGCTGCAGGTTACAAATATAAAATAAAATTCAAGACAGAAGTCCCCAAAGATTTTTGGTGGTTATCTGTCAGAGGTACGCATATGAATGAATTACTGTACCAAATGAATTATCAGTATGATGCTCTGCATAAGCCCACCTACTTGGTGCCATGGCAAACACACACAGGCCATCAGAGTATTTTAAAATGATCATCATGGATGTTAATATCTATTTACACATTGTGACAAATATGCTTGGCTGAAAAGGGTTCATACTTGAATTTTACTTGACATGTTTAGTTGAGCAGAATAATGCAGGTCTATGCTCTTTACTAAAAATATATGGGATGACACCTTCTACTGTAGGAGGTTTTTGTACAAAACTAAACTGGATATTGGTCTTACCATCTGGCGCCACCAAGATCTTTGCCAGGAGTTTAAAATAAAAGAACGATGTCTTTTACATTTAAAACAGTCTATGGAGAAACTGATGTCCTTTGCTGTAACTTTCTAGCACAATGACTGAACATCAAGATTCAGTTACTGTACAGGAAAAAGGACACGCACGCGCGCACACACACACACACACACACACACACACACAGAGGCTGTAAAGACCAGCACCGCCACAGATCTACTTACATCACATGTGTATTGCACCTCATCAACAGCATACTTCTCCTTGAAGTGCTCTTTAGGAAAGATCCTGTCAACATATGAAAAACACGGGAGTTCAGTCTCTGAAAACTTTACGTCCAGTGGTTTCACTCACATATATAAAAATGTTTATACTGGGTGTAAAGGATCTAATGTGCAGCACAGGACTTTGTCAATCCTATCTATAAGTTACAGCTCTCAGCTATGGACCAGCTGGTGATGACTGTTGGCCATGTACACAGCTTTTTGAAGATTAGTGTGACTCACTCTCCCATCCAAGTGGCATAGCTTTCAGGCAGTTTGGGAACAAAAAGGATGGATTTCCCAGAGTTCACATCAATAGCCCCATAACAGTCAGGCTCGGTTACTCCAAAAGCCCAGTGGAAGAAAGACTCCTGCAGAATGGACAGAATCAGCCAGAGCATTAGTGAGGGACATCGTACATAAGAAAACATATGTTGTTCCTGATTAGGATAGGTGAACACAGAGCTCAACATACTGATCATAGACACAAGTGATTCCTCTACAGGGTGGCTGGCCTACATTTTTTTGACACAGTGAGGAGATTAACAGTGCAGAAAAACTCAGAACTGGACTTGACTTTAGGAGAAGCCGGATGTGGTTTTTGTGGCACCTCGACATGACAGAATGCCCTCTGGGCTCTTCAGGGATCGGGCACAGCCAACTTAGAGGAGGCTGACACAGGACAAGTTGGAGGGACTTAAACTTACTACTGGCTTGGGGTATCATTGACGAATGGATAAACAACCTACCTGCCTGAAAAGGAGGTCTGTGTCCGTGCAGTACCTCTGCTTTTGCTCTCCTCCCTGCAGCACCACCACTGACTGCGGCACCACTCCGTCTTTGGCTTTCAGCTCTTTGCACAGTCGTCGGCGGTTCTCTGCAAACAGGGCCGCCGACACCCTCAGGGTTTCATTACCCAGCCAGTAGACAGGTCTGAAAGAAGAGGGAGGCTAAGGGTGGAGTAGTGGTTGGAGAGATTGACCCTCAATTGAAGGACTCTTGGTCTATATTAGGATTACCCGGTCATCAGGTGCACTAAGCATAACATAAGCCTAAAATAACATAACTTTGTCCACACTGTCCCTACTGTACCTACGATCTCTGATATCCTAGTGTTCATTCATGAAAGTATACAGCAGCTACAGCGCAAAGACTTGTTGAGCTGGAAATGTTGTGGTTTCTGCTTTTGGCACACACACATATAGACACACAGAGCAAGTCGTGGACCCTTTATGTCTTTAGTTCCATCACCAGCCTGAAGAGGTGAGTGAACCACGGCCTGCCTTCAGAAAGAGTTAAGACATAGATATAGACATCCTTTTAAATGATAGATCTTGGTTATAAATCTTGGTCCATGGCCATGGTTTCACTGATAAGATAACAAAAACATCATATCTGATTCAGCCTGGAGAGTATCAAAGGTTAATCCACAACCTCATAGTATTTTATGGCTCAATGATTTCTGTATCATTCCCTGTTGGCAGTGTATCCAGGTGTAACTGTGAGGACAGATCAGTCCCAGTGAGGTGGTAAATGATCTTATTGAAGGAGGCAGACACAATCATGTACTACACTGCAATCCAAATGCCCTTCTGGCAGGTTGCAATAGCCCAAGAATTAAAAAAGAAAAACCTTGTGAAATGTATTATTTTAAGATTGCGCCGGTGAGATACTGATTAAACTGTGTTAACCTTTGAGGGAAGAGTTTCTGGAGCTGTACTCGATTACATAATGTCACAAGGCATGCCTGATGTTTGTTCCAATCTCTGGCATTGATCACTTTTATGTCTGCTGATTGCTGACAAAGTTATGATTACCACAGCAGATTCTCACACACTTTAATGATCACAAGAAGCCTGCCTGGGTTGTGTCGTGATCACAAGAAAATGAAGCTTGTACAAGTGAAATCAGATAATTATTTCATGCAGCATAATTACTGCCTGATGTACTGTTTGTCACATTGACACCAAGAAAAAGTCATTCTATGTTCATGAGAAAACAAAACACATAATTGTACTGTTGTCTTTCAATACTGTTGTAATTCAGAGCTTTCACTTCACATTTGCCACAAATTTGGCAGACATGGATTGGCTGCTACATTACACTCACCTACAACACTGTAAAATATCTGATTATGTTGCAGGTCTCCTTATTGTAGTAACAATAAGTGATTGTTATTATTATAATTATTTTTCTTGATTAAATTCTTTCTCTAATTTTTGTAGCCCAAGAAAAATAAAAATTTCTTCAAGTCACAAGTAAACATTGTTTTATTTTTAGTGTGTAAAAAGGTTTTTTTAATGGGTTTTTCTGCGCAGTGAAACTTTTTACTGACCGCAGCTGTAAGGGAGCTCCCGTTAGCTCCGCTTCAGAGTTTAAGGACGTGAACATAACAGTTTAATTTATTAGGATTTAAAGTGCTTTTAATTTGGCCTGTTGAGAAAACGTCTTCTTTAATATGTTTTATAGAGACAGTTAATGATATATGTAACCTATCTCTTCACATATCAATAAGGTAGAAAGTTCACTAGCTACATCCTTCAGAAACTGAACTAACACATTTTTAGTTTCGCAGTTTGACAGAGACAGTGTAGTAACATAGCAACGGTACAGCTGCCTGGCAACAGCTTTATTAATGTAACGGACGTCGTCGTTATGTTGATGTGGACTGAAACTTAAAGCTAACAAGCCTCTATTAATTAAAATAAATGTGTATTTTAATCAGAAAGCTCAACTCACTGTGCTGCTGCTGCCGCAGACATATTGACGTGCTGCTCCGGACTGTCACGTGCTGACAGGAGTCACGTGAGTTTTGTGCAGCGCTTGCTGGCGCGTATCAGCTGACGTGGCATTGTGCTGAGTTCACGTCTGTAGGAAATAATAACTTCAACAGTGAATTTGCACTGAGAGGCTCTTATGGCGTTAGTTTTCCAATATCGGCCGTCGTTTACAAAGGTCTGCAGTCCGTAAGAGGAAACACTATCAACCTACTTAAAACACGTAAAACAGAAAGCTAAAAATAACAACGAGGCTGAAAACAACGCAGACCCATAAACTCCTACTGAAAACAATGCTGAAAACGTGTCACTCCCTAAATGTCACAGCATTGCAATTATTAGTTGCCAGTGAACAGAGAAAAATATAAATAACAATAAAACATAGCACTAAACAAGTGCGGAGAATTATACAAAAGCCACATGCAACATTTTTATGCAATAGAATACTGGCATACAATTTATGGTTGTGGCTACGTTATTCAAACATGGTATGAAATTAATTGAATCAATAGGTTCATGTTGGCAAGTCCACTGAAGGCTACAATGACTGGACATTTAAACAGTGTTACTTTAAGCTGTTAAAACAGCCATTTTCTTATTTTTGTATAAACAGGCTTTTTTAAAAGAGGCAATAGCCCTTTTTCACAGCAGCCACTTTTACATCAGGGTAAAGACGGATGTCTTTACTTTTTAAGGCTCCGTTTACTGCAGAGCCCTCCAGTGAGCCAACATGCACAATAGCAGCCCCCTGTCTCTGTCTGACCTGAACGGAATGAAACCTAATTATTATCATGCCATCCCCTTGTAGCAGAGAGAGTGCGGGCGAGAGAGGATCTTCCTGACCCAATGATCCTTTATCTGTCTCAGATCCTTCATCTGTCTGTCCATGGTGCTGCAGACAGATTTTTGTTGTGCCTTTTTTCCTCAGTACCGCCCCTCTGTCAGTTTAATTTTGGATCTATAATATTCTTTAAACTATATACTATAAACACTCAATGTTATACTGTATTGTAGACATTACACTCTATAGAGTAGTCACCTTTATGATCAAAGTAGCAATGTGCAGTCGCTGAAGAGCAAGAGGATCATGTTGTATTCCTATAATATTTCTATGAACATTTAGTAGTTAGTCTGTGCTGCTGAAAATACACTCCAGACCCATGGGGGTTACCCTAACTCTCCCTTTGGGTGATGCCCCCCCGCCCCCCATGATCCCCAAATTACAGACTGGTTATACAATGCAGATACACATGCAGACACTGTCCAGCTATCAGCTCCCTGTTTGTTTCATTATTATGCAAGCTACATCTGCAGTTAGACATTAGTTTTTAAATTGAAAAGAGGAATAACGCAATTAAGACAGCCGACCTTGTAGAGTCACACAGGAGATGTACTTTCGGTTCTTCTTTTGTCATGTGCTGAGGAAGAGAAATTATCCATGGTCATGAATAAAAATGAGCCCACAGTAATAGAATTAGAACCTGTCACATGCATATGTGGTGAGAAGCTAGTATATAATTATTTATTCTTTTTTTCCCCTGGTGCTTAGCTAGTGAGTTTTCAAACAAGGAGGCTTTCTTTATTACCAGTGTACAAGATTCAGTTAGAACTAGACTAGAAAATGAGTGATGTTTAATCTATCAAGTGCCCATGAGGTTAGGAAACTCACTAAATGCTTACGGCAGCCTTTATTTCAACTGTGAAACATTAGACAACACAATTTTCCAGACAGCAGTGACTGTTCTGAATAATGTTTGGCTTTCACACTTCAAGTAAACACTCCCAGTTATATACATTTCCATTCCCTACATCAGTAGGATAGAGAAACTCAGGAAACCTTGTCCATATTGAAACCTTAATATTCTGAAAACAAAGTGAAATGTGAGACCTTCAGAGGCACACATAAAAATCTCTGGAAAGATGCAGTATACTGCCTTGATTGATTTGATCCTGCAATGGTGCTTTTACAGTAAAAACAGTAGGGGGAGATGCAACTCTCTTTTGTCAGAATGCAGGAAGAGTTTGGAAAATAATTAATTATTATGAGCGACTGCAGATACACGATGCAGGTAACTCTAAACAATGTGTCATAAAAGACAAAATCCAGGCATAGATGACAGACTGTCAAGAGGGTTGACATGCTGACAATGAAACATGAGCAGCTTTCACCATGATGTCAGGTAGATGTATGTGGTAACATGATATTTTGAAACCTATCTGTTTTTCTGCAGAAATAAAGTTTATATAGTTTCATAAACACTTTCAATCCAGGTAGATGGAAGTTATCTTTCATGTTTATTTTAATCTTACTGGAGGATGATGGGTAATTTACCATAAACTGTTGGAAAGTCTGGACTCAAAGATACGTAGGTAGTCAGTAAGATTAAGAGTAAAGTATTTGCAATGTCAAAACTATTTTAAAGTGTGCACTCATTATGTGGGCTTAACATTTTGTGCAAACATGAACACTGAAGACTTATTTAGATTTCCAGATATTATTAATAAGACTCCTAACCTTTCCACCACCCTTTCTGTCTGTGTAGTCTCAGTTAAATGAGGCCATTGCTCTCAGTAAGTTGTGCCTAATTTGAACCAGAGGCAGTTTTACCCAGTTCTCATTATATCCATGTCCATGCATTGGCCACATCTGAAAAGACCAAAGTACAATCCAATTATAGGCATTGTTGTTTTTCTTGCAAATACAATAAACTTACAGAAAAGTCTGATTAGTTCATTGACAAATCACACTTCTACAAGAATGTATCCTACCGTCAAAGGCTCATAGTTTTGTTGTGTCCCCTCAGTGGCCCCCTGGCATAGAAGAAATGTTCCTGCTGGAAATACAAAGGAAGACTCTGGGACACCAGGCGTCGAGCCACCACTGTCACTGTAGACTGAGCGCCAATTCCCCTGCATCCTAAATTTTATCTCTAGTGCCAGCTGTAAGTTGTGCTGATACAGTTGAACAGCTCAGCTTTGAACCCTTGACTTTACTCCTTGCGGGCGTTGGACATTTGCAATGGAAGGAAGAGCGTCTTCAAAGACACTATGGACTTTCAGGACAAAAAAAGGGCCAAAATAAATAGGCTGCATGCGTAGGACAGCAAGAAAAAAGGGTAGATGGGAACACACTGGCATAACATTTCCAGTGAAAGATATTGAAGACTTTTTTATTGTGACTAGAAAGTTGCAGCTTAGTTGCTCAAACAGGCTCAAAAACAAACTTCCTTCCCACTCTGTCTCTGTGACTACTTTCCTTGAGCAAGGCAGCTCCCAGATGTAAAAGTGTGTACACAACCCTATGTCCCCATACGAAAATGCTTACAAATCATTGAAAATATATATATGATGCTCTGGGTCAACATGCTCCATTAAATATCTTTGCATCCAGCATGTAGAGGAATGGGACATCTGCAGTGAGGCCAAATATTAGTAATACTTCCCCGCCGTCCAGGAATAATAATAATAGCGGACAACAGTAGGAGGAATAGCAGTTTTCACCACTTGTGTGAAGACTGAGACAAAGGCAATGTATTGTATGTTGGTTGTTTTTAGACAAAAAATGACCGCCAGCATATGGATAGAGAACAAAGGTCAAGATTCTGTAAACATTTTAAAACCTTTGATCCATTTGAATTACATAGTCACTCCAAGAATCCATTCTAATCACCAAAAATACAAGTTGATCAAGATACAGAGCTTTTACAGGGATTTTTTAAGCCACTGGGGGAGAAAAGTCTCATACTCAAAAGATAGATCAGACCACTTTAAGTTTCCTCCAGAGACTAACCCAATCCCTCTACTTCAAAAACGCTCCAGTCAATTAGGCAGATAGTGGAGTGTGGCGAGAAGCACAATTGAGTCAGATTATTTACTCTCTTCAGATGACCAGAAGAGGGTTTAATTAAAACATAAAAAGCTGCCTGCAGGCAGATGGATTCTGCTGAGTGGGTTCTTACTGTAATACCTTCTGGTGAGCGTGTGTCAAACACACGTGTCTGAGACTATTAAAATATTAAATTTATTTTATTTTAAAGCATGTTATTGATATCACTATTATTAAACCATTATAGCAACACAGTGACACAAACAACATGGATCCAAAAAAAAATATTTCACACATATGCATTATGTCAAATCTTGCTGTGTCCTTACACCCCTGATATATTTCCCATATACAAGGGGAATTACATTTCAGCTCCTACTCTGTAGGAACCAGGTCACTTGCATCACATGTATATGAATTGTATAAATTAAAATATGGAATGAAAATGATAAGAATTAAGATTGTGGATTAAAAATGAAGATGTGGAGGTATTTTAATTGAGCTGAAGTGGGATTACCAGCCATCCTACATTACATAACTAAATTAGAGTAATTAAATGGTGTAATAGTAAACTGGGTATGGAACGTTTCATAACAAAGTTATGTCTCTTTTATGTGTATCCAATGTTCTTTAAGCGAGTTTCATCTATTAATTTATAAATTTAGTCATACTCCCAATCTCTCAGTTTTAGTGCATGACCATCAGCCAATTGGAAATATAAATTGCAAGGCAGAAGGCACCACTTTTTTCCTGAGCTGCTGGATGACAGTTTAAAGCTTTGCTTGTACTGGAGAGCTCTGGTGTGAAGGCAAGCAAGAATATGAATGTAAATGAGGGGCACGCTGAAAAAGGAACAGATATACCAAAATCTACTTGAAATTTAAAATAGCTTGTGGGCACAACTGCGCGACTCTGCTGTTAAATAAATATGAAAACCTGCTTGTGTTAATTGAATTAACAATAACTTTATCAGATGCACAATTATGATATTTCTTTAAGCCTATATGAGGTGCAGAAGAAGCAGAGGAAGAGGACTATTTAAGATTACATGAGATTTGGTCTAAGGTGAAAAACAGGACACACTTTAAACTTTGTGTTTATGATGACAGCAGTCAAAGATCAGAGAAAATATCAAAATCACCTCAAAGCAGTCTTTTTTACGTCTTCATCATCTGAAGCACTTTCTTCTTTCCTCAAAGAAAGTAAAAGATGTTACAAAGTGTTCTCTAATCATCACATAAGCA